AGAGTTACTGTTCTTTGCACTGCACTTCTAATCAAAGTCATCTATCAACCTACAAAGTTTCTTGTTGATATCTCTTATGGCTTCTGAGTTATGTCTCGGACAACTTCAAAAAGTAAAAATAAACAAAGGGCAATTGCTCCAGAATTAGGCAATGCAGAGTTATGATCCTTGTGCACTGCATATCTACCCATTGAGATATATCTACCTACAAAGTTTCATGTTGATATCTCTTATAGTTTTACAGATATGTCCTGGACATGATTTTTCTAAAAGGGGAGATAATTCAAAAATGAGGCTTAACAGAGTAATGGTTCTTTTGCACTGCACTTCTACTCAATGAGATCTATCTACCTACAATGTTTCATTTTGATATCTCTTTTAGTTTTAGAGTTATGTTCTGGACAAAGTTCAAAGTGTTAAAATTAACAAAGGGCAATAACTCCAAAATTAGGACAAAAAGAGTTATTGTTCTTATGCACTGCACATCTACCCATTGAGATCTATTCACATACAAAGTTTCATGTTGATATCTCTTATAGTTTTAGAGTTATGTCCCGGACAAGATTTTTCTATCAGGGGAGATAATTCAAAAAAACAGGCAAAATAGAGTTATGGTTCTTTGACACTGCACCCCCCCCCCCTCAATGCCCTCTACCACTGTATGAAGTTTAAACAAATTATCTCCAAGGTTTTTCAAGTTATACTCCGGACAAGACAACGGACGGACGGATAGACGGATGGACAGACGGACAAGGCGCCCACTATATGCTCCCCCGAAATTTTTCAGGGAGCATAAAAATCCTAGACTTCCATACCTAGGTTTGATACTAGCATCTTTCCCTTGGAGGGCATACAAGAGGAGGTGTTGTACATCAGCCATAAAGAGTGGTGGAGGCACCTTGACCTCTCCCACTTCTGTCTGTACTGGATCATCCCGTATCAGCTCATCTAGAGTCAGGAATACCTTTGGCTTCATCTACATAGATAAACACATCTACTGAGTAAACTATGTAAAACAAAAAATGCATTTACTACAATAATACAATGTCATATTATTTTTAAAACAGCAATTACCATATAAACAAGTAATACAATTTTTGGACAAATATGATTTGCATCTCAATTACACATTATGTCATAAATGTATTTCCAGCTATAAAGCATCTATTTAGGTAGACCCAAGTTGCACCTAACTGCATTATCAAATACATAAACAAGAAGGCACTGAGGTAGTAATAATAACACCAACCTTCTGTAAGCTAGCTCAAAAGCTTCTTCACATTGGTTAAAAATAATTTTTTTTAATCATTATGACATGGAATACTGTCCCTTCATTCTATCATATATAACAAAATTACGTAATTAAAAGTTACTTCATTACATTAATTTATAACGCTGGATTATTCAATTTACAGACAAAAAGTTACCCTACAACAACTTAGTACGTACAAATTATCTAAATCAAGGGTTAATATCCATAGTGAATCATTTTACTGAATTAAACATAACTTATTCTAAATTACCATGGCTGCCTTCTGCCTTTCCCTCATCATCTTCTTATACTCAGCAAACATTTCATCAGCTAAACTTTTCTCCCCACCAGTAGATGAACTCTGTTTAACACTGTTTTGAGTATCTGATGTTGAACCTTGGTCTGGCATATCTGGTTTTTCCAGCTACAAAAATAGAGAATATTTATCATACTTATGGCTTATATTTAAACATTAGCCTACTTATTGAAGTCACAGAAATACATTGATAAATGTATTCAAATGTAATAAAATCATTAAAAATGATTTGTTGAGAACTTGTCAGATTCAATTAAATAAACTTTGAAACATCAATCTTGTATCCAGAAATATATACATGTATCTGGAATTATGCCGCAAATTCAATACTATTACATGCTCAAATAAAAACATTTTAACAATCGTACAAAGTACATGTAGCAATGATATATAGGGATCACTCCTCCATCCGGTCGGTAATTCGGCCGATTCCGTTAAGTCGTGTAACTCTCTGATTGGATTAATTTTGAATTTGATTGGTTGTTTAGCTACCTATATTTAGGTTATTTTTCTCTTGTTTGCCATTCTGTTACTTATTTTGTAGTCGTGATCATGTTTCAAGTCTTTTTTTGCCTACCCACCCTGGCCCATGTGGTTTTGCAATAAGTTTTATTGCATATTAGTACTGCATTTTGGCACGGATTTATATTACAAGGATCTAACACTCCCAGTTAACCCTATATAAATGCTTAAATAACTTGCCGCGCACCCGATATAGGTACATCGATCGATAATGTACCAGCGCAAAGTGTAAATGCCGGTTCGCAACGGATACCTATGAAAGGGTATTAACGTCAAAATTACATCTTGCTTTCTTACGTTACATCATGCTTTCTAACTTGTACATCTTGCATTCTGACTTGTACATGTATATCTTGCATTCTGACTTGTTCATCTTGAATTCTGACTTGTACATCTTGCATTTTGACTTTTACATGTTGCTTTCTTACATGCACATTATGCTTTCTGTTGTGTGCATCTTGCTTAATTGTATGTTGATGTCATTATTTAAGGATCAATTATTATTCATTGTTGATCTAGTATATTAATTCAATAACTTAAACTATTTGGGTCTATTTACTCTTCTTGAATGAAGAATGTCATAAGGTAGAATGACGCATAGCAGAAAGCCGAATGCAGCAAGCATAATACAACGCGACATCTGGTGTAATAATGTGTGACACCCAAATTATGCTAACAGGTGACGCTACAGTTATATTCTCGGTAAACTTTCGTCCGAAGTACCAAACTGACACATCGCAATTTTTCGAATTACAAGAAAGCGATACAGGTCGAGGTATTCTGGTTGAAAACGGGCAAACAGGACGTTTCGGCCCCAAACCAAATCGGCCCCATTTGAAAAATCGGCCCCTGGACGTTTCGGCCCTTTTCCGCGAGACGTTTCGGCCCCACTATAGCATATTGCTTGATTGATTAACAACAATTAATTTAATTACAATTATTTAATTAAACAATTATGACACTTTAATTCTTTAAATAATTATTGATTATCTTTTGATCTCTTGAACCATTTAAATATACGTTAATGTTTTCAAAGCTGTAACAAACAATAAAGGCAGGTTACTTACTTTATAAAACAAACCACTAAAACTTCTGGATTAAGAAAGTTACTTACAATTATTCCTTAGAAAACGTTATCTTTTGATCTTAATTAAAGTATACGTAATTTTTTTCAAGGTGTAACTAATTAACTGTTTATAGCTTTGTGCAGTAAGTAATATCAGAGAAAACTTCAAAAGATTTGAAAAATTGTAAAATTGTAAAAATGTTATTTATAAAAAGTGTCTGTTCACATTTGTTTTGTTTCAAGTAAAACTGTTCTGTACTTGTATTTTCGTATCCATCAAACTCGTCACTGTTAAATGGTTGTTGATGATAATTTAATGTCTGTCTCGTGTATTGTTTTGTGTCTTGCTTCTTAACCATTCAAATAAAATATTATCTATATATGGTGTAAATAATTGTTTATTTGTGAATTATATTTTTTCAAATAAAGTTTATGTTCTGTTCTGTTTGTATTGATTACTTTCCCTCTACTACTATTATAATCTAGTTTTTATACAAAATGATTAAATATAGATATTAATTGATTCATTTATTTATTTATTGAAATGCTATTAATATATCGGTTTAAAATACATTACTTATTCTGGGGCCGATTTGGTAAAGGGCCGAAACGTCCGGGGCCGAAACGTCTTGGGTAGTCTGGGGCCGATACGTCTTGGGGCCGAAACGTCTCGAAATCCATTATGAAAACGGAAGCCTAGACTGGTATCCTGCGCACTTATATGGGAACCATAATAGGACTGGGAGCCAGAATAAACGGAAGCTGTGAATAAAATACCAATTCACAATTTTAAAACGGAAAATGCAAAATAAAAATGAATGATTATTTTCTATTTCATGGTTAAAGTTATTCGCTTCAAGCTTTGCCTTTTTCATACTATACTGCTTTAAAAGTCATCTCGCGACTGAAAGACAATGCTGACAGTAAATTTTTTATCATGTTACATGATGTATAAATGTAACAGGTCTTTTATCATGATCATACGGGGAAGTCAAAGACCGGGCCCGCGAAGCGGGTCCGGGCTTTGGCTTGCCCGGCTATAGACTACACGTGTATATGTAAAAGAAAATCAAATAAAAAACAATTAAAAAATATATAGAATTCTATACCTATCAACGAAATTTTCAGTGTCAGTTCTAGTCGGGCACCGCCATTTACAATGTAACTCAATGATAATAGGCGGGGTATTCCGATAACGTACCAAATCTCAACTTTTCGGATGAATAATAATCGTCGAGTGTTCCGAGTGAAAACGGAAGCAGTGCGTGTAATACCGAATGACACCTTCAAAACGGAAGGAATGAAAGGAATATTTTAAATAACGACTTCCCCGTTCATAGGCTTTGCCTAATTTCATATTATATATTATTAGTTCTGGCTTCCATAACTTTATATGTCGCTTTTATTTTGACGTTGCGACAGGTCTAGCAATTCTATAAAACCTGTTCGCTGAAGTATCTTTAGCTAATATATTATTCAGTTGTGGGAATTAAATTGTGGATTGGGAAATTATTGCCTTACCTTAGTTTTCATGTAATTTTCATCTGTTTTTACTAACTGTATAAAAGCTGCTGCTTTCTTTTTCTTGGATTCTATCCTATCAAAACTTTTCTTTGACATGTTGTAAGTGAAAAGTGCAATTTTTTATTTTAATTGAGGTTTCTCACATGGTAGCTGACATGTTTGTGAGTGGACGCTTGCAACGCAATGAAATATCAGCGCGAAGTTCAATAATATCGTTTAGATGACTCAGATGAAAACAGTGTGCCAGCCGGAAACCAATAATAGAGGAACCAGCATAAATCGGCTTCGGATTACTTCTCCATTGTTCATAGAATGAAAGCGGTAGTTTTAAGGTAGCACACCACAGTAATGTAAGCCACAGCTTCGAATGGCCAGGGAGGATTTCTTGGATATAGTGAATATTCTGGATTTAAATGACTGGTTGTCTTTAAAATGCATTTTCAGCATAAAATTTGTTTTTGTGACATCTAATATGATCACTGGCAAATTCGAAAACATGGCCAGAAATCACATGCTGTTGATTATGAATGTCAAGGCCGCCATTTTTTGTAAACATTGCTTTTATACAGCATGCACGGTAAAAAGAAGTCATTTTACAGGGGGGTACAAACTTTTAGCAGTAGCAAAAAATCTACCTGGTTGAGGACTAGTTTCTTTGTGATATTTGCATGTATAGGGAGTTGCTAAAGCAGAGACGGTGTTCCTTTAGCTGTTATATTTGCAGATATTTTTTGCCAGAGGGTCGAAATGTGTTGTTTTGGGTCTCGGGCCACTGTAGACTTTGGGCTTCAACGGAATGAATTGCAAATTTTTTGACTGCCTGCCTATTGCAGATGGGATAATTTCTTTGTAGATTTGCAATCTTATGTCATATATGTTCTCAACAAAATGTGTTTTCTTTTTCCAGGTTGTGTAGTTTGGTATCAGAATTATTAGACGTATTGCTTGTAGGACATTGACGGCAGGAACTTGAAATTAACTGTGGAGTGCTACCTAAAGATTTTATTTTTTAATAATTCTTTACAGCTCAATGCGATATGAAAACAACAAAAGAACTAGCAAGGTTTGATTATTTGTTTTCACGCAAAATTTTTTAGTCACATGAAAGTAATGAACCAGTTTCATAATTATTTTATCAAATCTAATTAAGTTTTACTTTATCTACTTTTACAAGTGTTGTATAATTTTCGGACCAAGAATATTTCGGGACAGATTTATAATTATATCTTCCCTTTCTGTCAAACCCCTCGCAAGCACGTAGACAGGATTCTTTTGACCATTGTATATTTTTTAGCTCGACTATTCGATAAGAATAAGTAGAGCTATTGCAGTCACCCGAGCGTCGGCGTAACCACTTATGTTAAAGTTTTTGTAATAGTTCAAATATTTTCAAAGTCCATTGACATATGGCTTTGAAACTTTGCACACTTGTTCACCATCATGACCCCAACCTGTAGACAGGAGGAGGTAACTCTATCAAGCATCATGACTTAATACCAAATATGAGTGATATCCGCGGATATTACTATAAATACCGAATATGACCTATATTTTTCAAAGTAATTATTTTTTATAAATTTTTCTTGATACTATGTTTTATAATAATAAAATGAGTTTACATGCAAAATTTCGTTAAATTTGGTCCATAAATAAAAAAGTTATAAGTTATATTCGAATTACGTTCTATAAAAGTCATGTCCGTGGCGGACAGGAGATACCGAATATGACTTATTTTTTATAAATTGATTGTTTTTTTATGATTATTTCTCGATAAAATGTTTTATAATAATATAATTATTTTACATGCAAAATATCGTTAAATTTGGTCCATAAATAAAAAAGTTATAAGTTATATTCGTTGCGTTTTCTATAACAGTCATATCCATGAAGGACAGAAGATACCGAATATGACCTATATTTTACAAAGTAATTATTCTTTTATTTTTTTCTTAATACGATGTATTAAAATAATAAAATAAATTTACATGCAAAATTTCGTTAAATTTGGTCCATAAATAAAAAAGTTATAAGTTATATTCATTGCGTTTTCTATAAAAGGCATATCCGTTGCGGACAGAAGATACCGAATACGACTTATTTTTTATAAATTGATTATTTTATTATTTATTTTTCTTGATACGATGTTTAATAATAATAAAATGATTTTACATGCAAAATATCGTTAAATTTGGCCAATAAATAAAAAAGTTATAAGTTATATTCGAATTACGTTCTATAAAAGTCATAACCGTTGCGGACAGAAGATACCGAATACGACTTATTTTTTATAAATTGATTTTTTTCTCTCGATACTATGGTTAATAATAATATGTTGTTTTTACATGCAAAATATCGTTAAATTTGGCCAATAAATAAAAAAGTTATAAGTTATATTCGAATTACGTTCTATAAAAGTCATTTCCGTTGCGGACAGAAGATACCGAATACGACTTATTTTTTATAAATTGATTATTTTATTATTTATTTTTCTTGATACGATGTTTAATAATAATAAAATGATTTTACATGCAAAATATCGTTAAATTTGGTCAATAAATAAACAAGAGCTGTCGGTAGGACAGCAACGCTCGACTATTCTTAGTGCTTGATAGTAAAAAAATGCTTGATACAGTTACCTCCTCCTGTTTACAGGTTGGGGTCATGATGGTGAACAAGTGTGCAAAGTTTCAAAGCCATATGTCAATGGACTTTGAAAATATTTGAACTATTACAAAAACTTTAACGTAAATTCTAAGTCGAAAAAGGGGCATAATTCTGTCAAAATGCTTGATAGAGTTACCTCCTCCTGTTTACAGGTTGGGGTCATGATGTTGAACAAGTGTGCAAAGTTTCAAAGCCATATGTCAATGGACTTTGAAAATATTTGAACTATTACAAAAACTTTAACGTAAATTCTAAGTCGAAAAAGGGGCATAATTCTGTCAAAATACTTGATAGAGTTACCTCCTCCTGTCTACAGGTTGGGGTCATGATGGTGAACAAGTGTGCAAAGTTTCAAAGCCATATGTCTATGGACTTTGAAAACATTTGAACTATTACAAAAACTTTAACGTAAATTCTAAGTCGAAAAAGGGGCATAATTCTGTCAAAATGCTTGATAGAGTTACCTCCTCCTGTCTACAGGTTGGGGCCATGATGGTGAACAAGTGTGCAAAGTTTCAAAGCCATATGTCAATGGACTTTGAAAATATTTGAACTATTACAAAAACTTTAACATAAGTGGTTACGCCGACGCCGACGCTCGGGTGACTGCAATAGCTCTACTTATTCTTATCGAATAGTCGAGCTAAAAAGTTATAAGTTATATTCGTTGCGTTTTCTATAAAAGGCATATCCGTTGCGGACAGAAGATACCGAATATGACTTACATTTTATAAATTGATTGTTTTATTATTTATTTTTCTCGATATGATGGTTTTTAATAATAAAATGTTAAATGCAAAATATCGTTAATTTTTGTCAATAAATAAAAAAGTGTTATGTTATATTCGTTGCATTTTCTATGAAAGGCATATCTGTTGCGGACAGAAGATACCGAATATGACTTACATTTTATAAATTGATTGTTTTATTATTTATTTTTCTCGATATGATGGTTTTTAATAATAAAATGTTAAATGCAAAATATCGTTAATTTTTGTCAATAAATAAAAAAGTGTTATGTTATATTCGTTGCATTTTCTATGAAAGGCATATCTGTTGCGGACAGAAGATACCGAATATGACTTATATTTTATAAATTGATTGTTTTATTATTTATTTTTCTCGATATGATGGTTTATAATAATAAAATGTTAAATGCAAAATATCGTTAATTTTTGTCAATGAATAAAAAAGTGTTATGTTATATTCGTTGCGTTTTCTATGAAAGGCATATCTGTTGCGGACAGATACATATATATTTTACAAAGTAATATTTTTTTTATAACTTTTTCTTGATACGATGTTTTATAATAATAGTTTTGTATAAATAAATAATTTGGTTTGATTCAGATTGCGAAATGTAATATCCAGGCCACACCACGGGGAGGGACTCTCTCGTGGCCCAACCTAGTTTCAAAAAAAAAGAAGAGAGAGAAAGATTTTTTATATAAAAAATGATTAACCAAATTAAGGAACTCAATCATTATTCTTTAAAAAAATGAAATGAAATTTTGTCGGATCAGAATAGAAAAATCTAAGAACAATCAATTTAAAAAAATAAATAAATAAGTAGGCGTATTTAATTACTAAAGAAAATACTATCTTAATGTAAATCCCAAAAAATCATAAAACAAAATAAAAAAAAGAAGACAAACAATAAAACATACAACTAGGGTATGAACAATATAACATAAAACAAAAACTTAAAAGAATGTAAAGTTAAACATATATATCTAAACGTATTGGCACCCTTCATCAGACAGGTACAATAAAGGGACTCCACTGAGGTTTAAAAGCCTAAAAACATAGCATTTGAATTTCTTACATAAATAGCCGGGGTACTTTAAACAGAAATATGTGCAAAGATAGTTAAGAAACAAACTTTAAAATATATTGAAAATTGTATTTTATGTTTTTCTTAGCCCGATTTAAGTGAAACGATTTTAAAACCTTTTCATTTTGAGTCATTTGTTTACAGTTTGAGTAATTATTCTGGAAAAACGAATTGCAAATGAGCTGAAAGTTTGCACAAAAGATTAGTGGTCTGAACCTACATCTAATGATACATTTATGTGAAAAAATTATTTTATGTCCCATAATGTAAAAAACCGCAATGGAGTCCCTTTAAAACATACATAAACGTTGAAAACAGACATTAATAAACGATCTTGATAATATTTACAGTGACATATATCACTACAAATATATTGAAACATATACAAACAATAAATATTGACAACAGATTAATATATAAAACAATGCGCATAAGATTTAAAGGTACACATATCAATACATCTAACATTACATAAACTTGAAAACATGCATAGTTTTTACACTGGATACGGACTGGCACCGCTATTCGGACACGTGGAAATAATGTGGTTCGATCCCCGGGCAGATATAATTAAACATATACAAACAATAAATAGTGACAACAAGTTCATATATAAAACAATGGTCATAAGATTTAAAGGTACACATATAAATACATCTAACATTACATAAACTAGAAAACATGCATAGTTTTTTACACTGGAATACGGACTGGCATTGCTATTCGGACACGTGGTAATAAGGTGGTTCGATCCCCGGGCAGATATAATTAAACATATACAAACAATAAATAGTGACAACAAGTTCATAATTATATAAAACAATGGTCATAAGATGTAAAGGTACACATATCAATACATCTAACAGTACATAAACTTGAAAACATGCATAGTTTTTACACTGGATACGGACTGGCACCGCTATTCGGACACGTGGAAATAATGTGGTTCGATCCCCGGGCAGATATAATTAAACATATACAAACAATGAATAGTGACAACAAATTCATATATAAAACAATGGTCATAAGATTTAAAGGTACACATATAAATGCATCTAACATTACATAAACTTGAAAACATGCATAGTTTTTTCACTGGAATACGGACTGGCATTGCTATTCGGACACGTGGAAATAAGGTGGTTCGATCCCCGGGCAGATATAATTAAACATATACAAACAATGAATAGTCACAACAAATTCATATATAAAACAATGGTCATAAGATGTAAAGGTACACATATCAATACATCTAACAGTACATAAACTTGAAAACATGCATAGTTTTTACACTGGATACGGACTGAATTTATAAAATATAAGTCATATTTGGTATCTCCTGTCCGCCACGGATATCACTGTCTTAACCTTATTTAGCACAAAACACAAACACAGTTTTGCAATGGGCAAGGCTTACGATTGTTTATTATTTGAGCAGTGTGTACAAGTACATGTTATTGTAAAACTTCGTTTTCATACATACAAATATAATTATGATACGACAAACCGTATACATATAAAAAGATAAAAAATTTCACTTGTATATTATCGTTTTGTGAATATCC